TTTGTATTGAGGGTAAAGTTGATGTCTGACACTCGATCAAAAGAGACACTGACAAAAAAAAAAAGTACAGATTTATGCACTAAAAGCAAAAAAGATGCTGCAATTTACACAACAAATAAAGAGACATTTCATATTCTGAACTCTTTACTGCGCAAGAATACTAAGAGGACCAGAAACTATAAAACTTAAGTAGTAATTTCCCACACAAGAAAATAGTTTTAACTTGTGTTTAGGAGAAACATGCCTCCTACTATCATTCAGTTAAACAATTTATTAAATCATGGGATGTTTTCCATGCACAAAATCTTACAAGACAGTTAAGCCAATAATATAAAAATGGCTCTCTTATCAGATACATGGACAAAATAAATCCAAATAAACTAACTAAATGCATATCATGTGGTCGAACACCACACATCTCAATTTCTTTTTCTCTTTTTACAATAGAAAAATAGTGAGTACACAGTTCCAAGGAATGTCTACCAAACTGACAGAATAAATTTTTAAAAATAAGTTGTCAACTAAGGCCTTAAGTCCATCAAAGAGATCTATGCAGGCAGATTTTACACCTGCCCACTGACTTCAGGGAGATTCTGAAGACATAATGGTCCACCAAGGCAGATTCTTTTGCAAGACTGGACCCTAAATGTAAAGTGTCAAAACTAATTTTAAACTTATTTCCTAAGCAAAAAAACCTGATGACCCTTTTCTTACTGACTAGTGAACAGCAAGGAAAACAAATTTCACATGTGAAATACTAAGTTCAAAAACTAACATTTATTGTCCCTTTAGACCTAAAAACTGACCTCTCCACAGTGAGCCCACCTGCAGAGTTTCATCTTAAGGACTGCAAACATTCAGTATTCCTCATGTCTAAAATACCCTTCCTGCAGATGTGAAATAGGGGGGAAAGTCTGCCAGCCTTTCAGGACAATTCACAGGTATTCTCTCTTTAAGCACGTATGTGAGTGAGTTTAAAGTTAGCTGTGCATTTGTTAATCTTCCCCTAAATCCTCACTGCATTAAAGATCTGTTGGAGGAGGGGGTAGAAGAGAAACAGCATTTACAGTTCGTTAGATATGACCTTCAAAGTCAAAGCAGATCAATTTTAGGCCCAACAATTTTAACAATATTCCTTTTACATAAAAGGACTAGAATCACATAATTGAACCACCATGCAAGTAACTAAAGAATAGCCAGCATTTACAGCTAGAAAGTAGGTAAGATTCCAAGCAATGAAGTTACTCATTTTTTTTTTATGAGAGCCGTGTGGTTTCTGATGGGCGATATCAGGGACCAAATTCATAAGTGGTAACTAGAGGCATAACATCTAGGCAGAGTGCACACCTCAAGGGATCTGCATTATATTTATATAAGCATCTTGTTAATTATGTGTCATCTTCTTGACAGACTCACCCAAGCAGTATAGTAAACTAGCTCCTATGGCAGGTGTATACCAAAAATACTGCTACCCAAGTATATTTAATTAATTTAAATTGACTTCTTTTCTACAGAATCCCACCTCCTGAAAGTGAATCTTCATCTCTACACTCAGAGGTTTCATATACAATTCCCTTCCCTGTTGAGAAGGCAGGAGTCAACCTCAATTAGTTTCCCCTACCTTACTGTAGCTTGTCCTACAAAATAGTATCAATAATCAGTATGACAACACTAATCTGCCTTTAATATTTAACTGCTGTCTTGGATTCTTTTCAAAGTTCTTCACTTACATTTCTACAGTTAGGGTATCTCTGAACTGCTTTGCTCTTCACCATAGATAGATTTATGAAGCCCTTCCTTACTGTCCCCTACAGAAAAGAACACACATGGATGTGTTGCTCCTGCCAACTTGGCCAGGAAAAGTAAATTTATGCTATGCACCATGGTGTAGAATATACCCCATGTCTATCTCCTATGCCTAAAAACTATCCCACCTATGAATTCTGCCCACACCAGAGCCATGTGCCAATGGTCTTGTGAATAAGAGAACAGATCCATAGGTTAAGTCTGACATTAAGAGATCTAATTATATAGTCACAAGCAATGTGTTCTCTTATGTAGCTACTGTGGGTTGGGGGGAGGAAAGAAATAGTGTTGCTCTGAAAAATTGCTCAGGGAAGCTAATCTGCTCTTCCTGGAGCACTCAGTGTAAGAACTGACCACGTTAGTGCTGATAAACAAAGCCAAATGCAGACAGCTCGGCATCAGTCAAGGCTGCAATTAATCACTGGGACACAGTCAAATGTGAAATGATGCAATAAAGAAGAAAATCCCAAGTTAAAACCAGCATAAAGTCATACTCACTTCCCGATGTCATCTTGATCGG